ACCTACAGATTGATCATTTGTGTAAATTTTTGCTTAAATAAATGAAACTAAAATTCTTGGCTTGTTTGAAAAAAAAAAGAAATATATACGTGATTTAGATCTGAAAAAATTGTTTCATTTCTTAAATGATATATGGTCAAAGTTCCTTATAGCTCGAATAGCTGTAAAGCTTGCGCGCGTAGTAGGTACTGTTATACTTTTAACATAAATAAAATTTACAAAGAAAAGTTAACAGCGCGAAACTAATTTACCGTTGGATTCTATGTAGCATACATACAAAAGACTTCAACGCAAGCTTTATAGCAAACGATTTGGATTTATTTTGCAATTGATCTTTTTGTATGTTAAGTAGACTTTCATACTTCATCCAGGGATGCCGTCGTATGGGTCGGGTCGAATTTACCTATTTCTGCTGGCAACCAGTAATGTGAGCATTATTACTGTATTCGGGTTTGGATGGGTAAGGGTGCTGGTGAAATTACAGATACATACATGGGACTTGTCAACTTATGTCTCAGGGGACGGGCGCAGTGGCAGCGCTCCTAAGATCTTTTCCACCGGCGAGGCGAGACGAGACGAGACGAGGCGATAATTTAAATCTCGCCTACTTATTTCCATCAAAAATTGCCATCGCGAGCACTCGCGAGCTCTCGCGATCACGCGCTAGGGTTATGGATAGTGAAGAAACAGTGCTGTTCAATTCGTCAAGTCATAAACACCCGGCTAATGTACCATGTCCCGCAAATTCTTATTATTAAATATGTTAACGGAAGAAAAATCAGATGAAGATACTGCAAGAAGAAATAATCATGTTGTATAATATAAACTGCTTGTATCCTCTAAGATAAAATAAATAAATAAAAAAAAATAACTTTCGAAAATAACTTTTTTTTATATAATCTTTTATCGCGCGAGCTCGCGCGATATCGTACGAGATATCGTGAATCGTGTTTCCGTTGCAGAGTTAATAAAGAGTCTATGCAGGCAGCAATACGGTTCAATGTTACATCAACAAATATTTCAAATTCGTCTTGTCCTTCCTCGTTAATCCCGACCATTCCACCAAAGATGCGCTAGGAGAGAATTGATATTTTGCCATTCAAGTTTTGAAAGTAGTCTCGCCTCGTGTCGTCTCGCCGTGCCGGTGGAAATACTCCCACAGCGGCATTGCAATGGCTATGGATAGGCGTGTCGCTTACCGCCAGGTTTGCCATCCCGTCCTTAGAGGATTAAGATCCCGTCACTTGGTATTGTTAAAAAACAACTCGCATGGGGCTGTCACAGCATCAACATGTTAACGACAACACATACGTATTGTCTTTAAAATACTATGGGCTATTCCTAGAGATACTAATCACAGAACACGCAATAAGAAATAATAGATAAAGCCTTCATAATAAATAATAAACACAAGGTCTTGTGGAATATAGCCTAATTGTATCCAAATTGCGGTACATTAAAAGACCTCGCTAGTGGAGATTTGTGGAATATAACCCAAATTACATGATGAATCTGAGGGGCACTGCCACTGCACCCGTCACCTTGAGACATAAGTTGAAAAGTTCCAAGTGCATCTAACTTCACCAATACCCTTTAATAAAGCAGAAATAGTTAAGGCGGCAGTCTTTCCCTAGACGAACTCTTTCAAAAGGAACTATAAACATTTACTCCCTTGAGTCTTTTCAAGAGTTATCCATCATTTAGGTGTGCATGCTTCATCTTCGACCTCGTCGTCATTTTCGTGGAGATGAAGGTCAAATGCACACTTATCTTTAATAAAAAAAAAAGCTATAAAGACCCCGAAACGTTGGCATGTTTGGCGGATCTAAATAATATTATTTAGATCCAATAAAAAAATATCAAGCATTTTGAAAAGTGACAATTTAGAAAGCTTGCTGTCTATTTTTGCTTACCAGTGACACAATACGTGAACTGATAATCATGAAATGGTAGAACCTTGAAACGTCATTGTCGAGATCAATCGATATTTTGCCTAGTCGCATAAAAACCGTAGTAAACTAATCGATATTTTGCCTAGCCGCATAAAAAACCGTAGTAAACATTTCCTAAGTTCCTAAGATTAGATCAGTAACACAGTATAATAAAACAAGTAGTCCAACTCCCTCATGTTTGGCGCGCCACATCACTCGGAGTGTAGGGCTGTCAGATTATTGATTCAGTTGTAACACAGTATTCTCATACATATTGATATTTTTATACCAGAGTCGTAGATGGTATCTCGATTATGAGAGTATGATTATGAAATAGAAATTGAGTGCTGAACATTTCTGAATTTGAGACACTCTTCTTCAAACATTTATATACAGCAATAAACATTGTCTAGTATAGGACGTCATTGTTTAAACATCGAGCGAAAGCTTCATTTCTATAATAAAAGGTGCGTGTGACAACCCGTGCTTTGCAACTCGAGTGCACCGCAAGATACTGCGATTGTGTACACGCCGTGTAACGTGCCCGTACGTTTACAATTCGCGCTACTACGTTTATATGGAATTACATTACTTGTCTTATTATATCTATGTTAGTAATTTGTAATTTGATCACATACGTTTTATAGATAAGTAGATCTACTTATCTACTATCTAACCGTATTCACGTGACTGCAATGTATGTAGGCTTCAAAAGAGTCTAAATAGTGGAAATGGATCTCGGATCTGTAATCGCGTATATTATTTGTTTTTTTTTTTCAAATAAACCAATGTTCGTTTATAAGTTTTGCTTGAATTGTGTCTACTGTTTGTACAAATAAATGAAAAAAACAAGTTTCCGGCTCTATAAAGGTCCCAAATCCTCCGTGTTTTATGTGCATTTAGTTTAAATTTTTGTTCTTTTTGGGCTTTTTGCTATTGGCCAAAACAAGTACGATTTAGACATAAAAGAAAATGGAAGTGAAACAGATTGTTTGTATAATTATCCTGTACATTTTACACTTGGTAAAAACAACAATACGGTAAACATTGACGCCAAAGTTGCTACCGCTACGCTAAAATATCCTTATTTAGTTTATTAACACCCTTTTTGATAGGTTAAACTTGAATCATTGATACTTCGCAAAACATCAATGTGTTAGACATTGACGCCTAAGTTACTACCACTACACTTAAATGTCTTTACTTAACTTGTTATCTTTTGAAATTCAGAAATACAGCTCATAGGGTTTTCTGAGACATATTTTCGAAACACAATTAAACATCAACTTTGTATACAAGCGGGTTTACTGATAATTTTATAGAGCGGTAGTTAAGTTGAAACTCAGGCAATTAGAAGATGTATAAAGTACGCGCACGGGATCTGTTTATGTTTATGATGCCCTTCATTTACTTGTCGCCTTGAGCGCTGTAAACTTTGAATTCATATAAGACCTACCTACCTTAGTAGGTTACACCTATATACCTTAAGTTTGAAATGATAAAGTGGTGCAACTTGAACATAGCATACGAGTAAAACAAAATGTGTAGATTTATACTTGTGCAAATAAATCGTACCTTGTATAAAATTATAAAACATATAGTTGAAGCCATTTAATTCAGTTATAAAAAAGCCACTTGCGATCCAACATTATTAAAGGGGTTCCTTACACTTACTGATGTGCTTGATCGCAACTTATAGCTACCATTGTAAATTTTGTTAATTTATGTTATTGTAGTACTATTATTTTGTGTTTTATTTTCACTTTTATTATTGTAATTATTATTATTTAGTAATCAACATTGTTATTTTGCTGGGCGTGTTGGTGAAGTTGTAAGTTCGCAAGAGTTTTCGTATAAATAAATACATCACAAGTGATTTAATTACATTTAAGTCATAAAAATAGTATGAACTACATGAAAAAAGTTATGTTTATGTGCAATTTTATAACTCTTCTATTTAACAATGACAAAGTTGTCGACTAATTTCGTTCGCAGAATCTTTAAAATTCTTCTAAAAACTTGTCATTTTGCAGATATATCCTTTACATTACACTAAGGGCGCGAAATATTTTTACACAAAATACACACTCACGCACACACTCCATTATACGTACAGCTAAATCACAACAACATACAATACGTAACGTCGTCGTCGTTTCGTACATTATTGTATCAAATAACATTGATAATGTGTCTACTTATAGACCTTTGTACGAGTATACTCTCACTATATTTATTTGGGAGTTCACGTCAATCGGCGTAAAGGAGGATAAAATTTTCTAATGCATATTATAATCCTAATTGAATCGAGCTGAAAATACGGGCAAACCGACAGAGTAACGAGCTTAATTGATTAAAATACACCTGCATTAATTGCGGCACAAATTGCCATGTCTTGTACCGTTAATATTTTCACCTCTGTATTACAAAACCTATGATCTTCGCTTGTCGAAATTCTAGCGCCATCAATTTGTTCGTCATATAATGGGTTCAAACAGGTATTAGTATCTATCTTTTAACTCCAGATAAAACTAGGGTACATTTAAGCCTTTCAACTTTTAACTCTCATTTCTGAGATCGTAAATCAACTCAATAGCACTATTTGAAACTGCTTTTTAAGTGACATATTACATATTGTCTTATCCTTTATATAGTGATGACATAAAGACATTGTAAAAGGATTGAACAAATAGAAGAAGTAGGTCGTAGATGGGATTTGGACTCTATTTTCATTTCGAAGCAATTGCGAACTAAACGACATTTGTGTGATTGCGGCATCGAAAGGTTTGCGTGTTAAATTTGATGTTATGTCGGCGAATACACACATTTTACGATTTTTTTATGTAGATATTTGGTAAATAAGATGGCGTACTTACCGTAAAAGTTCCCAAATGTCCGTTAGTGTTAACTTAGAATGTAAGAAAGTTTGAAATAACGTTAGGGATTCTGATGGTTCCAGGAGCTGGTGGTGGGAAGTGGTAACAAAGCACCGCCCAACAGATTGGTGGTGGCCATGGCAGGGGCGGTCATTGAAGAGAGTGACATGAATGGCAGTGGCGCATGCGTGCCCGCGCGCTCTGCGAGATATAAGCACGCACCTCGCACCAAGCGCCGCATAACTTTGGCGCGCCCAAACGTTCCACGAGAACTTGGCGAACGACTTACACTACTGTCTACTGTCATCACTTTATTTTCCAAGAAAAAAATAATTTATTTAAAACACCCAAGTCCTTTAGTGAGTTGTGATCCAGTTTTGAGTGCATATATTTTTTTCTAAACACTTTCCGGGAACTTTTGAGATTCGTACTTTTGTTAAAGTTTGCGCTGCGAACCGACACTCCGCGGTACTGGGAAGGTAAGTGGCAAATTTATTCAATTTGTTAACTGATGTCACGAATAGAACTATTGTTTAAAGATAACTTATCTGTATTTACGTCAAAAGGTTATATTTGGTGTGTTACGGTAGATATAAGTAATAATTACCGAAACAATTTGAAAGTTTGTCTTAGCGCTCTCGGTTTCGTAATTTTGTTTTCTAATTTTGTAATTTTAACTTTGGAATAAAATTCCTCAAGCTCAAAGGATATTTTCGTTATGGTTGCCAAGTTTTTCTCTCCTCAGCTACGTTCATATTACACTTATTATAACCAGAATTACACTGTAAACCAGAGTGTTACAAAAACTGCATATTCAATTCCAGTGTCGTGGCTAAGTTAAAGTGCTTAACTATCGATTTCCTATAGAAAAGTACCTACTACGCATATCATGAATAAATTAAAGATCGCCAATTTTTAAGTTACTTTGGGTAAGTTAATAAAGTCTAAAGAGATATACACATATCTTCAAGTGAATTTATGGCAAAATAAAAGTAACTTTTTCAACGGTTACTTCATTATATTTTAAAATAAAAATCACAATAAGGGAAAATAACAAACACAAGGAAATATAATTGAGACAAATTATTTAATTACCTACGTATTTATTTAAGGAAGGAAACTTTCATCTTCCTTCTCTAAAAATCGCACTTTAAATAAAAATAATACGTTAGTACCATAAATAAATATAAATATAGATGTAAGTAATTTAAAAAATATATTTTTTATTTCTATTAAAATATAGTAACAAAAAAAATATATATAGTAAAAAAGTCTTCCGTTGGAAAAAGCAGATCTATGCGGGCACACGAAGTACTTAAGTATGTACCTATATATTTATGAAACATTACACCCCGTCTTTCAACTTTGATATTTATACTCCTTTTAAGTAAAATATATTTTACTCAAAATTATTGCAATTGCAACATACAAGCATCCAACCAAATTCTGTGAGCTGCACTTACCGACGGAAGCTAGAAACTTGACGCTTCCATCTCAATATTCGATTTTTAATTCGGGACTTAATTACGTATAGGATATGGTTGAGATCATGGACGTTGCAATATGTCCGAAACGTCGAGGTAATTAAAATATGTTTTATACGTGATTAAGTCCCGAACTAAAAATCAAATAATGTGTGAAAATCATTCAGTGAATATTTCTTTGTTGTATGAATTTGAAATTGAATTCAAACTTTCTAAACCTGCTGCGACACTCTTTTTACTTAATTGTTTCTTCAAAATACTTGAAGATAATAAAAGACTCAGCTTAGCATATAATTATGCAAATGATTTCGGATTTAAGGGATTAATGTACTACTAAGTAATGAAAAATTTTAAACGCAGAAATTTTAAATTTAATTTTGTTTTAATTTCTTTAATTCGCGGAAAAAATAACAGTAGAGAAACTTTTGCGACTAATTCGTAGTACTTAGTTCGTTAACGGATTTTCTCTATTACCCGATTAATTCATAGAAAAAAATATTTTTCTTATTTTTCTGTCTGATTTCACATTCAAATTAATACGGAGAAACTACAGTCTTCCCATTTTATAATTTTTTAAAACTAAATCTACTATTAACGCGAGCACACGTGTAGTCCTACTTATAACAGAAATAAAAACGAAGTAGGTTTGTCGAATACCTGTATGTTATAAAGAATAACAACATATCAAACCTAAGCAAAATTTGCTGTTGCTTGAAATTAATTCACAGACCAGCAGGGCTATAAAGGCCGCATAGGCAGAATCATAATATAATAATTGACAATTCATATTGACAATGACAATTCATTTTCAAACACTCTGCAGTGTACGCGATTAAAAAAATAAGGAAACTTTCAGACGTCGAAACCACTAGATTGGTTTACTTCAGCTACTTTCACATGACATACGGCATTTTGCTTTGGGGTAATGCCGCCAATCAATAGAATCTTTGTCCTGCAGAAACGTGCAGTTAGGGCAATTTACAATCTGGGCCCCAAAGTATCTTTCAAAGATAAGTTTAAGGAAATTAACATTCTTACACTAGCCTCATAGTACATTTATGAAAATGTAATTTATGTTAAAAGGAATAGTAATTTCTTTATGAAAAATAGTGACAGACATAACATTAATACGAGGAATAAAAATAAACTAGCTTTTCTTGATAGTCGTCTCCACAAAGTCAAAAAATCATTTAAGGGGCAATGTATACGCTTCTATAACAAGATTCCGGTTGATATACAAAATTTGCCTTTCACGAGGTTTAAAACTATAGTGAAACAAAAACTTTGTACTAAAGGTTATTATACAACTTCTGCGTACTTGGATGACAAAAATCCGTGGTAGTAACCCGTTTAGCTCATGGAGGTAGTCTCGGTCTCTGATGTTTCAAATAAAAAAAAAATATTGTAAATGTTATTTACAAAGAGCAACCCCTAGAGTTTCTTGCTCATTCTTCTCAGGGGAATCTGCCTTACGAATGAGCGGTAGAGTTTAACCATTGTGACGATTTCAAGTGTAATAATGCTCACCTATGAAATAAATATTATTTTGAATTTTGAATTTGAATTTGAAACAAAACAAAAAACGCAATTCATCTATTTGACAGTGTTCAATGGAGACCTCCATGTATTGTCAATTAATCAATATTATGATTCGGCCAATACGGCCTTTTTAGCCCTGCAGATGGGTATTATAAAAATGTAAAAAAAATAATTTTTCTTTTTGCTCTGTCTGATTTGCCATTCAAATTAATACGGAAAAACTACTGTCTTCCCATTTTATAAAATTTTTAAACTAAATCTAGCACATGTGTAGTCCTACTTCTATCAGAAATAAAAACGAAGCAGTTTCGTCGAATACCTGTATATAATAAAGAATAACAACATATCAAAACCTGAGCAAAATTTGCTGTTACTTGAAATTAATTAACAGAGCAGGTGCGTATTATAAAAATTAGAAAAATATTTTTTTATTGCTCTGTCTGATTTGACATTCAAATTAATACGGAAAATGTGTAGTCCTACTTCTAACAGAAATAAAAAGGAAGCAGTTTTGTCGAATACCTGTATGTAATAAAGAATAACAACATATCAAAACCTAAGCAAAATTTGCTGTTACTTGAAATTAATTAACAGAGCAGGTGAGTATTATGAAAATGGCAACGTTCACAGAATTTTTTAATGAAAGCAAATTTTATGTCATCGGATGGTCAACTTTGCTTGTTAGTCGACTGTGTTACACGTACATTACCTAGCGACTTTTATTTTATAAAGGTTTTCCATCAATTGTGGGTAGATTTTGACAGATCATAGCGGCCATGTTGTTGAGGCTGCTTTTGTCAAATCTGTTGTATAAGTTCCAGTCATTAAAGACGGATCATCATGGCAAGTTAAAGCGTGTAACAACACGTGCAAATAATAAATATTTATTATCAAAATTTGTGTTCTATTGTGGCAACGATGCGCGCGTAATATACTACCTTGGGTTCTCCTGAACGCTCACGAGCACCGGCGATGTTTACGGCAGATATTGCGTTTTGTTAACATAAGGGGGTTGGCTGATGGTTCACTGGGACGGTCGACTCGAATTTGGCCACGAAACGTGAGATAATCGACTGGGGAAGGATGACTACATAAACCGTAAAAGGGGCGCAACACGCGCATCGTTTCTCACAATAGAACACCCATTTTGATTATAAATTTTTATTATTTACACGTGTTGCTGGACACTGTAACTTGCCATTTATATTTGTCTTTAATGACTGTAAAATAAACAGAAGATTTGACAAAAAGAGTCTCAAAAACAAGGCCGCTATGAACGGTCAAATTCTACTCGCTCTTAATGGAAAACCCTTTGTTTATACAACGTCGATAATAATATTAGATTTCTTTGTAGTGTGTTCATAGTTGAACCCATTGAAATGTAAAATAATATAAAGCCTGTAAATAAATAAGTGTAACTAATGTTCCCATGCTTAGTTTCAGCTTTAATAGCAGTAGAGCTCTTTCTGAAAGAGTTCTTCCAGGAAAGTACTCCCATAGTATCCCCTTACCTATTTCTGCTGCCAAGCAATTATGTGAGCATTACTGCGTTTCGATTTTGCAGGGTAGGGTACTGGTGAAATTACAGGCGCATGGGACTTGTCAATTTATGTTTCAGGGTGTCAAAGTTAAGAACTTAAATACAGTATCTCATTTTGTTATAACATCAACTTAATGCAAATTTATATAAAAAGGTTGTGTGAAAGTTGTAGAAAAAAAAAAACTTTTAATGTTTATGGTTTAGAGTGGAAGAAATGTTATACAAAGGATGTTAATTTCAAGACAGCTATAGTCTTTTTGAAATCCCTGTCAAGGAAATTTCTTTGAAAATGAGACAGTCATTTCTTTACAATTACTTTAGTAAGTATTTTCATTTTGAAAGAGGAATTAAATTTACAGTTGTGCATTAATTCAATAGGTAAATATCATTCAGTCTGGGTGACTGAATACGTGCTGTGACAGCAGTGTTAATGATATTCGTTTATGGACGTAAAGCCTATTTATAAAATAGGCAGCTATAGTTGGGATAGTATCGAAAAAATAATTTGATATATGCTTGGAAATATTTACTAAGATACGGTCCTGTTTGTTCATAACTCAGTTGTTCAGGTGACTATCAAGAGAAAACAAAAAGATAAAGTATTCCTGAAACTTCATTCCAATCAATTTACGTTAGCAGCAGTAGAGCTACTTGTGAAAGAGTTCGTCCAGGGAAGTACTGCCATCTTACCTATATCTATCGTCAAGCATTAATGTAAGCATTACTGCATTCACGGATTTGTTGGGAAAGGCTGAAAATAAAAGCACGTGGAACTTCTCAAACTATGTCTCAAAAAATCGCTTCCATTCCGTTCCGCCTCAATATAAAATGAACCGAAGGGTGCGAAATATTTTTCGCAGTCGCTAGTGCAACTATCATAGTACAAACAACACATAGTGGATCAAAATCGAATTGC